ACAATTGCCTCTTTTAATCAAAAATTTCACTTGAGTTTTTAATGACGTCAATAGCAAAGAAGTGGCAATAAATTGTTTTGTGTCACTATAAACAGCCATAAAAATTATAATCAATAAATAATAATGCTAAACAGTAGAAAACTTGCTCTCAAACAAAGATTAATTATCAAATTTTTACGTTTTCAAAAGAAGACGTCATTTTATTAGTAAAGTCAACAGCTCGCGTAAGAAATATTGTGTTCAGGGTTTTCACCATCATGTGAATTACGTGTTCAGGGTTTTCACCATCATGTGAATTAACCGTAAGTAAGGTTCATGCTCACTTATAATCTAATTCCATTGGCTTCGTTGATCAGCATTTTCTGTTAGCGGTCTTTCACACACCAGTTAGAACATAAAGCGCCAGTTTTATATTATGTAATTGGACTTGCCGAAAATCAAGAAATACATCTAAGAGTTATTTTAGATAATATTTTATGAAGCCTTTACCTGCCTTTACCTAGACGTGATTTCTTTTTAATTTACCTGAAAGAATTATTGAACGCTCGTCTTCAATAGCTGTAAGGTGCTCTCCTAATGACCAGGTGAGATTGATTTGAGAGGGATGTGACAATGCAACATATTGCATTTTCTGAAACTGTCAAGCTCTTGATGATGAAGGAACAATCGGTACCTATAATTAGTATTCTGTACCAGAGTGCAAACTCCCCTACAGCAAATGGTAAAACCATTACAGGTTTTTAAAGGCTTCACCACTTTCAATGTTGCTGGGCATCCTTTGCATGATTTTTACAGGCTAGACTGCTTATCAGAATGTAAGATTGAGGATTTAAAATTTTATATTTGAGTACTTAAGATTGAGCTTGAAATCTCACAGCCGTGGCCACAGCCGTAGCCGTGTTCTTGGAGATATTTGCAGCCGCCCCGGCCCACAGCCGTGGGGCTGCAGCCAGCCGCGGCTGCAGCCGGCCGGTGCAGACCTCTAGTCAGTATCGTCACCAATCACCATGCTACTTGGGCTGAACTGTAGGTATCATGGGCTTTGTTTATATTAATGGTGTAGCCCAAGGTGTAGCCCATCATTGTCAATTGGGTCACCACTTTTGGATCATGATAACACACTTAACCCTGTCTTGACTGGACTCGAAATGAATGACTTGAATTGAAAGAAGGTTTGATGGTTCAGGCATGGACAAGATTCAGGGTTCAAGTTATTTTCCTAACACCTCATGCAGTTGACTTGAATCCACATTCCAGTAAAATAACTGACCTGAATATTTGTTAATAGTTGCAAAATAAGTTATAAATGTATTTTTTGCAATGCAAATAATCAAGAGATTGCCTGATTTGTTTTTGTTACCTTATTTCAAAGTATTAGGTACCTTTCAAGGCTTATCATATGTCTTGAGAAAGTTTGAAGCATTTGTTTGATAATTCCCTGATTTCGGTATCTAGTCGGTATTTCCCCCTATTTCTGAAAATCGGTTCGGTTTTGGTATACTCTCAGTGATTTTGGTCGGTATCGGTTTGGTATTGGTTTGCAAAATTTCTGAAATTGACATCACTAGAAAGGGCCTAACCCAACAAAACAAAAAAACAAAAAACAAAAGGTGGGGCTATTTGAGACAGTGGGGTTATTTGACACAGTATTTAAAATCGCTATAAAATAAAAACCACTTAACCCGCGCGGGGCTGGGGTCTCCAGCCGAACGCGCGGGGCTGGGGGGGGGGGGGTAAATTTTACCCCCCCTGTTATCTCCCGAACTAATGGTCCGATTTGGAAAATTCAAACGCCAATCGAAAGCTCTCATCACGAACTACTAAAAACATGTACTTAATTTAAAGTTTGAGGTCAAGGTCAAGGTCAGGTCAAGGGTACAAATTGCAAGTTTCTACAGTCTCGGCCTTGCACCGTAGTTGCCGAAGAATGGAGTCATGGACTGAGACTGATCGCCCAAAACGTGTTCTTAGGCTACCAAGACAATATTAGTTGCATACAATATCATTCAGAGGTCAAGGTCAAGGTCAGGTCAGGTCAGGTCAGGTCACACAAAAACAAAATATAGAAAAGGGCATGTGCGACACATGTTTTATGGGTCATTTTACTCATAGAATTCAATAGGCACACTCAATAAGTAATATGGACCACCTCTGGATAAATTTCAGGTCGAGGTCAGGTCAAGGTCAGGTCAAGTGAGGTCAAATTTTGAAGTTGGTTGTTAAGGCCTAAAAAGGTGTCTATCTGATGCAGTTTTTCACGGCGAATCGAATGGTGCTATTTTTGTTTCCGTACGAGGTCTAGAACTTCCAAAAAAGTCATTTTTCAAAAATTTTGTGTGTCGTGACGTCATAAAATTTTGAATAACTCCCACATTTTTGAACCGATTCTTCTAAAATTTGGTATGTAGGTGCACATAGACCACTTCTCTGACATATATTCCGGTTTTTTCGATAGACTCAAAATTTTGGATTTTATAATGATTTTCCCCAAAAAATCAGTTTTTGAAAAAAATTTAGGCCAAAATCCAAAATTTTCAAAAAACCGAGATAGCCATTTGATAGACAAAGTAAAATTACGTATAACCTTTTTGTTACGTCTTGATTCCTTTAAAAATGAAGATGTTAGCGGCGTTTGAACTTTTGCCGTTTTTGAGGCGAAAATGGCGAACATGACGTCACTAAAACGTCAATTTCTCAAAAATTTTCCGACGGATTTCGCTCAAATTTTCAGGGAAGGTGTCAAATTGATGTAAGAAAAGGTACTGTAAGTTTGGCGGCGCTGCGCGCCGCCGTTTTTGAGATATCGCAAAAATTCGCGAGGGGGGTAAAATTTACCCCCCCCCAGCCCCGCGCGGGTTAAAATTTATGCTTAATTTTTTGCTCAGGCGATTTACTGCTCGATTCCACACCTCCCTGAGCGAAAATATCACACAAAAATCAAACGATCTTCATTTTATAGTGATTTTAACCCGCGCACCGACGGGGGTCTGCGCCAACTTCGCACCGACGGGGGGGGGGGCGGATGACCGCCCCCCCCCCCTGAGATCTCGAGAACGAAGCAAGATAGCGACAAGCGGTAAACGGCATCGGATACGCACGGTTAAGATCTACAATTTTTACAAAGGTCATTTTCAGGTCAGGTCAAAGATGACGTCACAGGGGTCGAAAAAGTCAAAATGGCGGCGCTAGATATGGAGACAGTTTTTCTCGAATAACTTTCGAATTAGTCAAGATAAGAACAAACTAAGGGCATCATCGTGATCCTCTCGTCAATCCGCATCGAATGATATATATGTTGACCTCGAAAGGTCAAGGTCAAAGGTTGACCTCAGGTCACGTGACCTTGAGGTCATCATGTATGTCATTCGATGCGTCTTGACGAGCTGAACACAATGAGACCATCCACGCGGCTGTATCTTGTTCCTGTACGGAGTTATTGGCCAAAAACCTTTGGTGACCTTTGATGACGTCACATGACCTCACAGCTGCCCAACAGCAAAACAGACCTCAAGGTAGTGAAGGTTGATCGTATATGAAGTCATGTATGGTATATGGGGCCATTCCGACCCGTTTTAGTGGTAAAAACAGGGAGTTGATTTTTCCCCCATTGACTTATAATGGGGAGGTCGCGAAATTGACCTGACCTTAGGTCACCGATATCAAAATTCCGAGATATACAACTTGTAGCTACTAATGACCTAATAACATCCTGCGACTTTCAAAGGCCTCCGACATCTACTGTAGCTATGGCACGGTGACAAAGTTGCAAAAAAGTGACTTGAGGTTGGGTCATTCAAAGTGACCTGGTGACCTGACCTTAAAAGTTAGGAGCTTTAAACTTGCACAATATGTGTAAAATTGATAAGGGAATAGTCGTACCAAATTTCGCGGCGCTACGCGCCGCGGTTTTCCCGCTATTCGCGAAAAACCTCAGGGGGGCGGATATCCGCCCCCCCCGTCGGTGCGCGGGTTAAATACTGTCTCAAATAGCCCCACTGTCTCAAATAGCCCCACTGTCTCAAATAGCCCCACTTTACGGTACCCTTGTCAGTGGTCTTTCTCCCGAAGTAAAGATCTGTATGATCTTTTATTGTGCTACGAAGGTCGCCCGTGCTAGCTCGCCCGCCTTACGCTAGAGGGCGGATGTGTCGGGCCGTCCGAACCACAGAGCCCGCTGCTCTCGCTAACATATCCCATACCCAGCCGCAGAGAGCATCACTACGGCATTATTGAACACCCACGCACTTAACACGGGATATGAATGCTCGCAAGCTACGGTTACTTTTTGTATTTCAAAACACGGGTTGAAAGGCTTGTCTTATCTTGTGTCCTGATAAAAGCTTATGGGATATGTGACCCAAGATTACTTTAATATGACCTGTCAAATAGCATGACCATTGACAATCAACCTGTTCAAATTACAATTTCAAGTACTCGGGCGCCGCAAAAGGCCTTTTGCCCTAGGCCGCGTCTTTGAAGCTCGGTAAACGTTAAGGGGCTGCCAAAACCTATGTTTGTTATAGCCAAGCTCAGTTAGCGGCGTTTTGAGTTTTTTTCCGGGGTCAGAGTCGAGAAGTTAGTAAGTTGACATGTGCAAAGATGGCTCTGTATTGCGTTTGTCGCGTGATTATTGATGCATATCACCAACTGCATGACTTTTTGTAATTCAGCGTTCCACAAATACCTACCAGCGTGATTGGTTCTATAAGTTATCTCTGATGTCTTTGTGAATATTCCTCTGAAGAATGTGTATTGTATCAGTGTATCAGTGTAATATATGTACAGTGTAATCAGCCAATGCCGTTCGGTTGATTTCGAATAAATGCAACACGACGCATTCGAAAATCAAATAATATTTATCCTTTTTTCCCCATTTGATGTCCGTTGTATGAAAAATTCCCTGAGATATGTAATCTTATTTATCTAGTTAAGTGCGCATCCTGGATTGTAAATAACACGCTTGACGTCCGTGCGTTCTTACATCATACATTGAGAACATATATTTCAGAATATATATTTAACATCACAGGAAAAGCCGTGCCATTCACTGACTAGGACAAGAGTGTTTCTATTCTTGTGTGAACAGTGGTGAATGACGATTATCATACAAGTGTCTAAGATGAAAACGTGCGCAAAACAGTAAACAGCAAACGAATGATTTGCCGACTTATCTGACATTTTTGTATTTATATGTACATAAAAATTGATCGTCCTTTGAGTCTATGAAAGTATAGACTCATGAAAACATCCTTTTTTGCTTTGAAATGGCCTAACAAATAGCTCGTATTATAAGTAAATCTTCAACATTGACTGATATACACTATACATCAAACATGTAGCAGAAGAGAACATCGAACAATCAATTGTTCAACTTAAATTTAACATTCATCCACCGAATAGTTACATATGTAGGGTAGCTTCTTAAACATCAGTAAGAATATCGCTGATAGTAAGATACTGCATGACTTTATTTGTTAAACGAAAATAAATACGCACACAGACCGATTTTTTCCGCCAAAAACAGTTACAACATTCCACACAATGCACATTGTATAGAGCCCGCTGACTTCCTAGCTACATACCAGTAGTTGTTACTGAGATAGTTTAAGATCGGGTATTTGTCTTTTATCACCAAATTATAGGGAAAACCGCTTTGAACAAGTGGTTAGCTAGGGTCATTCCCCATTCAGTCTCAGGCTCTCATGTGATGACATTTGCTCCAATAACTTCTAAGAATTTATTTGCTTCCTTACATTTTACCTTGCTTTCGACATCTGGATAATCAGGGATAATTTTCCGAAATCACCGGTCATTTTTTGGTATTGCAAGGACCATCGATGCAATTAGTCACATTTTTAGATTGTTTTTGCTTCCACAATTCCTCTTTTACTCGTTGCCATGTCCGCTGTACACAGTGCACGATGGCAGCCTAAAACACCGAATGATCCCAGTGATCCCGGAAAATTTCCCTGATTATCCGGATGTCGAACGCACGCTTAGACTTCTGAGGTTTGGCGGTGGGCAGTGGCACTGGCAATGGCAATGACACTACCATGGACAATGGACAGCTCAAGTTATTGTTCCAACAAGTTATGTGCCTATGATTCTGATTCTCCAAACAGAAAGCTGAAATTTATAAACTTTTTGATTTCTTTTTATAAATGTTCCTGAAATTTGGAAACCAGACTGACAACGTGCTCACTCCAATCGGACTCACTTGAGCTGTTTGGAAAAACTGCGACGTATCCTCTTACTCGAAAAAAAAAAAACTTCCAGGGAACTGGCATAATCCAAGCAAACCTTCTCGATTAGCTATATGGGGCCCAGCGGCCAGTCCTGCGCATCAGCAAGACCCTGCACTCATAGGTCACTAGCCTCAACAAAGGCAGTGAGCGCTGACTCCCTGCACGAAAATGTCACCGTTCCTTGAATAGTTCTTCACAGTTCGCATGTGAGCGATTACTCCCTCCATTGTGGTGGCGCTGTTCCTTGGACATTGCAAGTCCTCCAATTACTCCCTCCATGAACTCCGATTACTCCGACCCGCTCCTTGGACACTCCTCATCCATGAGAGTGTCCGCGTACCGAACACTCCTCTGTCGAGCAGTGTCGTCACTCACTGGACACTCTTGAGACGGGAGAGTGCCAGGTACTGCCGTCGCAGTGGTCTCGGTGAGTTTGGATTCGATGAACTCAGGCCGCAAGTGACGTCCAAACTGAGAGGAAGAGCCGCGGTGGCGGCCGAGCCCTGCACAGCCGCTCTGTGGAGAGAGAGAGAGAGAGAGAGAGAGAGAGAGAGAGAGAGAGAGAGAGAGAGAGAGGGAGAGAGAGAGAGAGAGAGAGAGAGAGAGAGAGAGAGAGAGAGAGAGAGAGAGAGAGAGAGAGAGAGAGAGAGAGAGAGAGAGAGAGAGAGAGAGAGAGAGAGAGAGAGAGAGAGAGAGAGAGAGAGAGAGAGAGAGAGAGAGAGAGAGAGAGAGAGAGAGAGAGAGAGAGAGAGAGAGAGAGAGAGAGAGAGAGAGAGAGAGAGAGAGAGAGAGAGAGATCCTGTCAGAGGATAGACCCGCCGAAGTTCGATTCCAAAGTTATTATCAATAAGTAAGGCAGCAAGAAAAAGACGGTGTTGTTTTCTACTGCGCCGTGTTCGATCGTGCTGCGAATGGGGTGGTCAGGGTGATGATTGTGTTCGGACAAAGGGAGGGACTATGCCACTTTTTAGTTTCTCTTCTTTTATAACATGACCCAACGCTCAGCACCCCTTCGCAGCACGCTCGAAAAAAAGAAAATCAAACAGTGCGAAAAATAGGAGAGCGGTAGCACCGAGTGACCGAGAAGTATCCCATGCTGGTCACAAGCACACGACTCACGAATAGTATTTCAACAGGGATTCAAGCCTAAGTTGTGACGTGAAAGCTGTTCAAAACATTATCAATGCAGCTGTTATTGAGGCAGGTGAAAATAGTAGAAGAAAACGGGCGCATAAAATACTCTTGCTAAGTAAATGTGTAAAATACATAAATAATGATAATATCTAAACCATTTATCATTGGTATAGAATCATACTCTCGTCTCACTGCGACGTCTCTCACTTGGTGTTGAGCGGCGCCGCCGGCCGCTCAGCCGGCTCCGGAGCATGACACGAGTGGGCGGAGCCATTGGATCTGCGCAGGCGCAGTGACCTCAGTGTCCACTGCGTGTAGGAGGTGGCCCGCGAGCGGACGCTGCTACCCGCGCGGCTGATAGCGGCTGGAGGACGCCGGCAGCGGAGACAGACCCTGTGGGAAGGGGTGCAGAGTAGTGATGCCAATTACGGAAAATCTTGATACCGATATCAAACCAAATACCAACAATAACTATGAAAAAATACCGAAACCGAGCAAACTTGGTAAACTCAGTAAAATGCCAACTTTTTACCAAAGTCACAGCTTCTTTTACATTAGGGACTTTTCACAATACCAACAAAATACCAAATGCATTAGCCTTGAAATACCAAATACCAAGTAGGTATCGGTTTGGTATCAGTATACCAAAAAGTTGGTATCTGCTTGACATCTCTAGTGCAGAGTCAGGGGCGTGAGCCTGGGGGTAAAATATTGGGTACTTGGGGGGGGGGGGGGGCACAGTAGGTGGTGAACTGACAAATGTAGGGTGAGATACTGGATGTGTTTTGATAGGTGTGCTGAGCGCAGCAATTTGCTTTATAATCTGGCAAGCCTAAGAAAGATTTGATTAAAAGCACATCTGCCAATGATAGACATGTTTCCGTAATATTGCCTCTAGTATATCCGAGAACATTCATTTTTTACCGCTTCTCTGACAGTTTTTTATCAGCATTACGAGCTTGCGTGGGCTAGGCTGCTTCTCATTGCATCGATTCAATACGCCTGCTTCTAGGCTCGATGAACAGCTGTTGAGTGTGACATTTATTGGAAGCCTCAGGTGTTCTGATCTTCTGACATTTATAATTCCTGAAATAGTTAATCTGTAGGACTTTGGGGACTCCTTTCCAGGCATGCCGGATAGAAACTGTGAATCTTGAAACTGTGCAAGTGACCTCTTTGACACCGCACGTGGGTTAGAGAACAAACTGATCTAGTCGAGTACTTCTCAAGTTGTCTGGTCAAAGTTTAGCAATCAGAGTTGGTGTTTCTGTTAAATTTAAATAACCAGGCTGTTACTGGGGCATTGGGGCATCGAGTCTCTCGTTAGGTGTCGTGCAAAAGAGGTGGTAGTGGTGGGCTCAAGCCAATCAAATCGACATTCATCCAACACTCGAAACAGGACGCATGAGGTGGGAAGGAAAAACTTGTGACGAAATAAGCTTGGAGTCTGAAGTACTCGTAGACATTGAAACAAAAATTTCGATATTATTGGTGGGATGAAGCTAAGGTCAAATATCCGGCATTGGACGCTTAGAAGAACATTGAAACCTGGGCTACTTGCCAAAACATAAACTTTGGCAGGACTTGGCTGGGATTTAGCTGCATAGTACATACTTGTAACACGATTATGAAGTGCAACATGGTTTTTACCCAATTTAGTCAAACCCAGGCAATGGTAAAGGGCATCTATTGTAAAAAGTAAAAGTTAGTCGGCGTTGTACAAAAGCCATCAACGTAGTCCTTTGGTTTGAGGAATAGGTAGCCATGCAAGGGTCAATGCCAAGAGCAAGTTCAGCTAATGTCGAGTGAGTGTGATTTATGTATTCACTCATGTACTGTGCACCTGTACATGTACGCTGTACATATAAGCTGCACAATGCACAATACATTGTGCGGTGTGGAACAACGATGAATATCATAAATAACCCAATTTATGCTACCACAGAAACGAAAATACACGAGATCAGCCATTGGTCACGATGCTTGTTCTGTCTCGATTGCGCCCTCGGCGTGGTACGTGCCCAACCGAGACTGAGTCGAAAATAGAACACATTTCGTGCCGCCTCTGCGGTCCCGGGGGCTCTTCTGGAGATAAATAAAACATGCGTTTATCCGCAGAGCACCACTGAGGTTATCGGAGCTCCATATCTCCATCCGCTTCACTACACATCCAATTTCACTCTGTTTCTGCGCTGCGGTGCGATGCAACTGTTTCTTACAAGTTACAAAACAGACTTGCTAAATGCATTAGTGCCCGGGGCCCAATTTTATCAATGTCGTATATATGGGGCACTGATTAGAAGTTCAGCTACGTTAAACAGCTATTAGACTCAAAGTTGTCTCACACATTTCAGTCTACCGTATAAATTATTTTTCTAAGGAATCGGTTCGCTACGTCTGATAATCATTTTCCAATGTCTGTATCATAATAAATTATACTAAAGGCAGTAGCTGCGAAAGCACGATGGTTTAGCAGATTCGTCCTGGCAGTAGTTGCCACTTACCTGGAGGCCACAGCTGAGAAGGCAGCCCTGAACTGGGCGTTCATCCCGCAGTATATGATGGGGTTACACACACACGAGGCCATGCTGAGCCAGTACGTGGCGGTGTAGAGATAGCCGATTCCCGGCCACTCCCCCACCCACCGGTGGATGTCGTATACGATCTGTGGGAGGGGGATCAGCGATCATGAATTCACGTGTGAACAGTGAATGCGATCATCACCAGGTGCCCGAATTTGATCATTCATGCGGCAAAGGCGAGTCAGCCGTTGGTTAGGTGAGTCATGAAACGAATTAAGGCCAGGCTACACTATGCGTTTTCTGCGTGCGTTTTTGCAGGTTTGCGTGTTTTGCGTAATATCGTTCTAGGAAAAAAGTTATAAACAATATAATTTTTACTTTGGTTATATACAAAAGCTAATATAACTCTTATGTAACTAAAATTTAAGGTGAAAAACATCACAAAAACGTAATATCGTTCCTTTTTCTAGAACGATATCACGCAAAACACGCAAACACGCAAAAAACGCACGAAGAAAACGCATAGTGTAGCCAGGCCTTAAAGCAGCAGTGTGTCAACCAATAAGGAATCGTGATATCACGTATCAAAATTAGGAGTAACGGCACACCATTTACTATAAATGCATGACACACTTTGTTACTTCCAATGATGTTACTTTTATGAGGGGAGAGCTCCAGCTTTTAGGGTCGAATGCGTCAGTTGGGGCGGCATTGTTAAATATTGTATTACCTGTAATAGCTTGTGCCATGGTTGCCAAAAGGGAATCATTTATATATTTATTTTGCTGTAATGGTATGTAAAAAATAAAAAGAACTAGAACGAGTGCAAATAATGCGATTCTGGTAGCGGCACGTGCTCACTAACCTGTAGCACGTGATTGGGTAGCCAGCAAATGGTGAAGGCGGCCACCACGATCACCATCATCTGGACAGTCTGAAAGGCACATCAACATTTCAGACATGAATACGGCATTAGCTAGCCGGAGGAAGGCTGCTGATGGACACGACTACAAAGCCTCTGTAGATTTTTTTTTTGCAGAGCGGCGAGCATTAAGCCGTGGTTCCGTAAAGCACATTTGTGCGTCATGATATCGTCAGTGGATAATATTTGACAATGTGGGTAGATACACTGACATTTACATTACCACGAACAGCATCCTGATCGGATTTATTGCTGTTATTTTGTAGAAGACAAGGATGGATATGTCAGTGGTGACTCACTCGGCTTCTCTATCGCCATGGTGTTTTAGAGTGTCGATAGTTGGATTTTATTATGGATTGACATACTATCAGTTGCGGCCGGATAATGTCAAAACTGATTTGAAACTCTTCTCAACATATGTGGCTGGAACTTGTAAGATATGTACTCGTAATTTAGAACACCAATCTAAGAACCAGACATTGAAGAACTGTGTAACACACATGGCCTCACCCCATGGCGGCAACACGCCTTGATTGAACTGAACTATAAACGCTACTGAGCAGGAATTGCTTGACTTATTTCACATTTACTTTACCGTATCTAATCCCTGCCCGACACATGTGGACTTTGTCACGCTTAATACTGACCCATGTCATGACCCATGACACATTTTTTGACACGTTTGCTGACCCCACTGACACACCATCTAACCCTGTCTCAGACAATCTCCACCACAGCCAGATATGTGACTGATATTCTCAATCATCATCCGACGATTGTGTATGTATTTTCACGCATCTGACGCAGCTGACCTCCCCTCCGCTCCTCTCCCTCTCTCCTGCGCTCCTCTCCCTCCCCCTTCTCTGTCCGCCGCCCCGGGTCGCGTTTACCTCCCGGGAGCACCAAAATCACCATCACCCGCCTCTCTGCGCCCGTATAAATATTTCATCACTAACACTACACAGACGGGGCCGCACCGAGCCGCCTTTTAAACAGATCGGAGCCACACCGCTGATAGTGCCAGCGCCGCCGCCCGCCGCCGCCGCCGCCCGGGTGCCGAAAAGTCGTCCGGCCGGCCGGGCGCGCTCCGCCACCCACCACGCGCAGGAGAGGGCGAGCTGAGGCCAGTTTTACCAACAGAAGGATTTTTTTTTTTTTTGCATAAAGACCGCTTCACTTACAGAATGAAACGGTAAAGCGCTATCCTATCCTCTTACATGCGCACCGCGTTTACGTTCCGTAGGTGAAGCGGTTTTTAGGGGGGGGGGGGAGAATCCGGCAGGCGGCTATTTTTCTGTTGGCAAATCTGGCCTCTGGTGAGTTTAATGGAATTCAAGTGAGTTGAAGGAGCTGAGTTGGAGGAGGGATTGAGTTCTTAGGTCCATGAGATGCGCGCGATGGTAACAGAATGAGGTGCGTGAGGGGTAAATGAAAGAAAAGTTTCGTCATGAATGAGGTACCCGTGAGTAGAATGAAAGATATGATCGATGTTGAACATGGTTGGTAGGTGTATTGGACTAGGCCTTGTTTTTTTTACATCATGCCGAGTTCAGGAGACATGAGTGTCTTATGGTGAGCGTAAAACAACAGCAATTGATGATTATCCAAATAATATTCAACTAAATAAAATGGAAAGGCCGTTGACAACGGACTTCACCTACTAACAGCTTATGACATCGGGTAATACACCGATTTGATAGTTTCTCCACATCTTTTTACGCGTATTATGGCTGTTTTATCCAGAACGCTTCAGTAAAACGGATGTCACAGTTACTAGGTAAACGTAAATGTCTTACGATGATTCTGGGAATTATACCCGCAGCTTCATTGGGTCAGTCACCCAGGACTGGTGAGCGAACTAAAACACTCGGGTAAAGCTGCAAGATAATGGACAATTTTCCGCTGAAAGAGCTGCTGATCACAGCTTAAATCGTGCAATAAGGCAGCGCTAAGTTTCTGGTACACCGATTTCTCAGAAATTTATCGCAGTAAGGCCGGTGACTTCTCACGCATTCGAGAATCATCAGAAATCGCTGCGTTAATGCCTCAACATTGACGTTTTTCAATGTGTCAGTGCAGTTACACGGCAATCTGTTCCACGAATCGACGAATTAACGGAACGGAGTGGATGTTGAAAAGCCGCCGTGGCAACAGTCAAGTTGGTAGTGCAAGACGACTATCGAGTATTTCCAAAGTTCATATTTTTATAGACGGGTGCCCGGTGCTTTTTGATTGCTTCTGATGAAAACCAACTGTAAACGGCCTGGGCATTCGCTGCACTGCTTTAGCTTCTTGATTTGGCAGTCTGTTCATTATTCTTGTTCGTTTTGTGCAGTGCGTCATTGTGCAGTGTTCACTTAAAGTGACTCGATATCGTTAACCCTCGCCCGTATTGGTGTTTTGACAGCCGCGAACGTATGTATCATGTATTTATACGGGGGGGGGGGGGGCGTTGGACCCCCTTGCCGCTTGGCCCCTGATCAAGCCAGAGCTTCAACGAGGTGTTGCCCGTGACGAGAGGAAGAACCTTTCCAATTTTATGGTCCTAGGTCATTGGATGACCTTCCAGGTCAGATCAATAACCAAAAAGTCGGGAATATCGGCACCTGTTCTGTTAGATTGTCGTAAAGTGTGGCTGTTATGTTTTTCTTCAGAGTGATGATCACGAATATGACGTTAGTTTTGATTACATATGATTTTTTCCTGCATTTAGGCCATTCGTAGTGCCGGGTATTCGTAGTAGGTGTCAAGCGCCTCTGACAGCTTGGTAAATGTTACGATTAACATGGTTTCGGAGTCGGAGTCGGAGTCGGAGTCGGAGTCGGAGTCGCCCGGAGTCGTGGCAAGCAGCCGGGAGTCTGAGTCGGAGTCGGAGTCGGTCAAGCTGCCTCGACTCCGACTCCGGAAAATAACTAGAATCTGTGATATCCAAGGTGATATCACTTTTCAGTTGTTTTTTTTTACCAGTTGCCCGCGGTAGAATTCGCTTCCGGGCGATACAAATTGCACACATCTTGTTTTTGTTCTGAATGACAAACATTGGATCTTACAAGTTTCAAGTTATATCATAATTTAGTAGCCACTAAACTTCCACTATCTGAAGTATAAGACGAGTCAAAGACTAAATGACAACTGTATTTTTACTTTCTTCGTTTATGCTCTGAAAAGTATCAACACAAAGGAATGACCGACATGATGGCGATGCTCGTGTTCGTGATACGGCCGCCTCTCGCGCTTCTCGGCGGGTTTCCACGCTGGCCGCTGACCTCTTGTGGATTCAGCTGCGTCCACGTGGGAGAAATGGTGACTGCATGAAGGAAACCGGAGAGTATGAGCGGTCTCCCCGTGCACATAGACCTAGCACGTGGCGTCACATCACGCAAAATTTTGGCGGCCGCGCCATTGCCCTTCGTATCAGACCCGGAGTCGGAGTCGGAGTCGGAGTCGGAGTCGGTCAGGAGCTCGGAGTCGGAGTCGGAGTCGGAACAGCGCTACCACGACTCCGAAACCCTAGTTACGAAGGCACCAAAACTACTTCGTAAATGTTCAAATGGTTGCTAAGTTCGAATTCAGCTCTAAAACTAGCCCAGAAGCACGTAAAGCTCGGAAAAGTGAAACGAGGTCATCAAAGATCATTGACCTGACCCGACCTTCAGGTGACCCTGACACCCACCCTAATGCATGGAAACAACATCATGTCACATGTTTGGACGCTTGAATCCACGAAAAGACTGCAAACGCGCGGCTAATGCGAGCCGACATACGCCGAATAGCGATTCCGGCCAAACATGGTCTCGAAAAATAGGTCCCAGGTCAACCTTCATATGGGTCAGGGTCATAAAATTTTTAAGGTAGGTGTAAAACTGATTAAATCGAGGGTACTCAGTTTCGTCGCGATCGGCCACTTTTTACGCGAGTTACTCGCGAAAAACCGAGGCGTTCGTTCGACCCCCCCATACGTGCGAGGGTTAAGAAACGGACTAAGTAAATTATTAGCGTAAGCGAGCGCCGAGAGCATTGCAAGTTCGGTTTGCTGCCAGCGGATACATCATGCAGCCATTGTTTTTTTTCAGTAATTGTTAGTTACTTTTCTGTTTGTTAAAAAAAAAAACACCGGAATGCTAGAGTGTGGTAAGGAAAAATGTTTCCACGTTATTCGATACATTCTGTCGCGGTACAGAGAAGGGGACAAATCAGGGGTGCGGAGCCGGAGCCGGAGCCGGAGCCGCCATGACAATTCACCCGGAGCCGGAGCCGAAGCCGGAGCCGATTTGTTTTTCCGAAGCCGGAGCCGGAGCCGGAGCCGTATGAAATTTTCACGGCTCCGCATCCCTGGTACGAATGTCTATCTTCTGAGCCTGAGACTGATCTCCAAGGATGTTGACTAATCTCTTAGAATGTTGACCATGTCCTCGAGCGGCTGATGCCTGTTCCACCCTATTGAGCCGCTCCGTCGGCTTTGTTTGTGCTCAGCTCGATGGCTGTTTGTTTGGGTAGAAACCAGTCGATTGGGTCATGAACGAACTCGTTGACAAACTCTCAGCTTAACGGTGGGGTGGGGCCGGTGGGGGAACTTTGGAGGAGTGGCACCAATCGCCGTGACGAGTTTTGAGACATTGACCCCGTTTCCATGGGCATCACTGATCCGGATCAGCAAATTTAAATCGTAGGTATTGTATTTATCGAAATCTTCCTTATATGTTATAATTCCAAGTGGATTAGGCTTATATAATCAGTTAATCCCTTATTTTGATTCTGATATATTGTCTAACCATAATGGATTAGCTAATCCATTTTTACTGATCCGGATCAGTGATGCCCATGGAAACGTGGTCATTCATCATAGAGATGTCAATCGGATACCAACTTTTTGGTATACCGATACCAACTTGGTATTTGGTATTCGAATCCTGGTGTGTTTGGTATTCGAATCCTGGTGTGTTTGGTATTTTGTTGGTATCATGAACCCTCACTCATGTATAAGTGGCTGAGAAATTGGAAACAATTGGTATTTCCCTCGTGTTTCCAATTTGGTTTGGCTTCGGTATCCCAGGTTTTGGTTGGTATTTGGTTCGGTATCGGTATTCCGATTTTCCGTAATTGACATCACTAATTCATCAACTGTTGGTTTCTGCATATTGCATAAGTCGTCTCGCATTGTGTGGATTACTTATGATCGTGAAAATTGCAATACAGCAAAAAAAAAACCACTTCCTTCAACGACAAACTTTCTCGTATTCCTGTATATACGCTTTATTCATCCATTCATCTTGGGATGAACAGTTTAGCGAGTGTTGTTTGCAGTGTGATTTTATTACCTAAAAACTTTCTTACACACCGCTTCGGTGACTTCCCTGATGAAGCTGTGTGCACTTTTCTAAGAAGTAAGAACTACAAAGTAGACTGTTTCATAAAAGTTTCGCTTACCTTTGGTGGAGTTTTGTTTTTGCATGAATACTTCTTGGAAGTAACAGTGTGTGTGCATTCTCTTCGGCTGGTGCCTTATTTGGCGTGCTGCAGAGAATGCATTGCAGTGCATGTGCAGGCGAGCTCGCACTGGTGCTCGTTATCCCATCGACAGAATGTAAATTAAATCCGTAATCAGACAGCAATATTTATAGTGTCAATGGCCAACCAGTGCCACACCGATTGTAAAAAAATACGTGGCGTGACGGGAGCAGTAGCATTTATTTGGTACCAAAATGGCACAATCATTTGATTGGCATACAAGTGGCAACAATGCATGACCTCTGGGCGATTCTTGCGCATTATCGAATGACGAATGAGCCGGGCTCACGCTACTAGCCCAGCCCAGTGGTGAGTTGACATTTAGACCGTGTGACATCGGGTGCCTAGTGGGGGTCATAATCTCTTGCCGTTCCCCTTCACCCCGCATGATCTCACGTCCCTTACATCGACTCCCAATCGACTCCAAATCGACTCCTAATCGATTCCAACTTGACTCCCAACCGACTTCCAATCGACTCTCAATCGGTGCCGACCGCGAATTTAGCATCATTTATTCTGAACATGCTCGTAATGATCTCGAAAGTCAATAGAGCTACAATATTGTGTTGTGGTGTATTGATGTATTTATTTACATGTATTTACGATGTATTTACGGAAGACCGCAGAGAAAGGTCGACACATTTTAAGACTTTCTTCCTTCTTCAAAGTTTTTTTTGTCACTCTGTTACACCGCTAACTTTAAAACCAACGACTGATTTTAGAATGTCTCAACAGCACTTCTGATGCCAGAGTTCAAACGACAATCCTTTCTCTGAAATGTCACCGCTCGCTCTAATAGACATGAGTGGCTTATCTAAACGTGATTCTGAAATGGTAGACCATTTCAACTGTGGCGAACAGGCGGCAAACAGACGGCGGTCGCCCACAGTCAGCGAGCACCGACAATAGACGGCAGAGCGTAGACAGACGCGACTATAGAGCTGCAACGGACCGACCGGCGTCTGCTGTGTAATCACCAGTGAATGGAGACCGGGGCTGGGGTAGCTGTCTGAACCCCTCGTGAGCTCACATCCAAGGCGCCAGAGCGTTAATGTTAGGTTTGGTAACCCTCTAGGGTACTCCATCGAGACCCCTGCTTCTAACTACGAGCGCCCATTTCAACACCCTCGAACGGCCTCGGCCGCCGGCTGAGCGCGGCACAAGCGTCATAATCCCCCTTCGGTCATCCCCGATCGCTCTTCTGTTAGCAGCGATGCTTCCACTCCCCAGGATCAGACTGCCTTCCCCAGGGTCGATGGACCCAGCCGACTGAGCCGCTCTTTGGCCAGACGATTTCGACGAATCACAGCAACGATTCATCATATCTGATCGGTCGCCGGCTACTGACAGAAGAATCTGTGAGCTAAAGACGCTCTATCAAAGCCAAATGATATGGTTTATGGTGCTTCTTCACCCTGATGAGATGTCGCCATTGGCCGGTCGTCTCATGCCTGATGGTTTTTGTCCCATCATTTAGGAAAATGGAAAATTTCCGGGAACAGGGCATCATTTTTTAATAAAAGTTAAAGCAGTCAGTCGCGTGAAGCTCTAGCTAGGTGCATCCAGACTGAGTGAAAAATCAATTAATTTTTACTCGAGCTGTTGCTACGCGCAGATGATGACCGTCGGCGTCAGAGAAGACAGCTCGTGTTGTAGAAGGCTGATTGGGTTATTCTTGCCGCATGGTTACTGTGTTGCTAGCTGAGCAAAAATAGAAGGGTGCTAGGTAGAGGTCTGCACCGGCCGGCTGCAGCCGCGGCTGGCTGCAGCCCCACGGCTGTGGGCCGGGGCGGCTGCAAATATCTCCAAGAACACGGCTACGGCTGTGGCCACGGCTGTGAGATTTGAAGCTCAATCTTAAGTACTCGAATATAAAATTTTGAATCCTTAATCTTACATTCTGATAAGCAGTCTAGCCTGTAAAAATCATGCAAAGGATGCCCAGCAGCATTGAAATTGGCGAAGCCTTTGAAGACCTGTAATGGTTTTACCATTTGCTGTAGGAAAGTTTGCACTCTGGTACAGAATACTAATTAGGTATAGGTACCAATTGTTCCTTCATCATCAAGAGCTTGACAGTTTCAGAAAATGCAACATGTTGCATTGTCACATCCCTCTCAAATCAATCAGGTTTATATAGCCTTGAATCAATCTCACCTGGTCATTAGGAGAGCACCTTACAGCTATTGAAGACGAGCGTTCAGTAATTCTTTCAGTTAATAGAAAAAGAAATCACGCCTAGGTAAAGGCAGGTAAAGGCTTCATAAAATATTATCTAAAATAATTCGTAGATGTATTTCTGGATTTTCGGCAAGTCCAAATAAAACTGGCGCTATATGTTCTAACTGGTGTGTAAGTGACCGCTTACAGAAAATGCTGATCAACGAAGCCAATGGAATTAGATTATAAGTGAGCATGAACCTTGCTTACGGTTAATTCACATGATGGTGGAAACCCTGAACACGTAATTCTCATGACGGTGAGATCCCTGAACACAATATTTCTTACGCGATCTGTTGACTTTACTAATAAAATGACGTCTTCTTCTGAAAATGTAAAAAATTTGATAATTTATCTTTGTTTGAGAGCAAGTTTTTAACTGTATAGCATTATTATTTATTGATTATAATTTTATGGCTGTTTATAGTGACACAAAACAATTAATTGCCACTTCTTTGCTATTGACGTCATTAAAAACTCAAGTATGATTTTTTATTCAAAGAGGCAATTGTGGCTCACACGTCCTTGGGGATTTGAGCGAAGATCATTATTTGGAAAAATCAAAATAGATGAATGTTTTTCTTTCTTGGATGCTTTCTAGTGTTTTGATGCCTTGCATATCAAATTAGTTTGAGACTTGCTCAGAAGGCTGCTTCAAGCCTGGCATATCACACCCCAGAAAATATGCAAGGTAAGAAAGAAGCAAGAGTTTTGACTAGGCAATCACTGTTTGACAGTCCATCAACTTCAGTTTCATTTTCCATACCTAACATTGATAATGAAAAGCATCAGGGTCTGTTGTCCTGTCCCACAAACATGCTTCAGGATTTGGCATTAGATGTCTACACTGCTAGTGTTTCTATTCTGGTTCGTTGTTTATGTTTTCTGTTGATGTAGGTACCTACCTACCCATCTTTCTTAACCTCTTGCAAGGGCTTGTGTAGGCATGTGATGCGCATCAGGCTTCAGGCCTTCGGCCTAAAGCCAGATACACAACCACTTAACCTATGATGCTTCATGAGTTAGAGAATCTATAGCCCATTGCAATGTGCTTTTGGCTATATGTTTCAACTAAAAACAACTTATTATATACTATTTGGTTGCATTTCATTGAAAGTATCCACGGCCGGCTGACGGCTGGCTGCCCACAGTTTGCCACGGCTGTGGGCGGCTGTGGCTGTGGAGCCACGGCTGCGGGGCGGCTAGGCTGTGGAAAATTGCAGCCGTGCAGAACTCTAGTGCTAGGCTTGCGAGGCATATCAGGTTTATGTGAATCACATCATCGTCACTATTATCATCTCTCTCTCTCTCTCTCTCTCTCTCTCTCTCTCTCTCTCTCTCTCTCTCTCTCTCTCTCTCTCTCTCTCTCTCTCTCTCTCTCTCTCTCTCTCTCTCTCTCTCTCTCTCTCTATCTCTCTCTCTCTCTCTCTCTCTCTCTCTCTCTCTCTCTCTCTCTCTCTCTCTCGCTCTCTCTCTCTTCCTATATAACTCATCTCACTCACTCCTTTCCTCCACTCTCCTTTCAAAACCCTCAGATTCAAACACACCATCCCGCCCAAGCACCTACCTTTCGTCTGGCCCTGGCCAGTCTCAGCTGCCGGTTATCTTGCCGCGTGGAGGGCAGTCCGCCGCGACCCCACACCTCCACGGCTATACGACCATAGGTCAGGGTCAGTACCGTCACCGGGAGAAAGAACTGCAGCAGCAGCACTGCGGTGGTGTAGTAGCGACGACCCTCGTCCTCCCACCGCTGGGAAAGGGGGAAGGAGGGGAGGTAATGCGTGAGATATGCAAGCGTTGGTTGGAGGAGCGGTGGGTCAGTTGAACTGCAAGGGAACTGCCCTGACTTCTTTTGCACGGAATGAGCATGATGAAACGTAAAAAGACAAGGTGAAATTGAACTTCTATCCGAAGTTCTCAACATTTCCTGTTAATGACATTTAGACCTAGCTTAGTTGTGTAAGTCATAACCTCGGCCGTTGATAGGAGCGTTTAGCGTGACTTTTAATGCCTTCGACCAGAGCTTTTAATGAAGATTTCAACACCGCACAGTGGCCCTTTTTCAGAATTAGCACGCATAAATTCAAAATATTTTTTCTCTTCTTTTGAGTAAAAAGCAGTCTAATCGTGTGCAAAACATTCCAAACTATCCGATGGTGCCATTTTTACCTCCTAAAAAGATGATTATCTTTGGTAAAACTGACCGCAAAATCGAAGTTTGTCGAGAGGCGCGCGGACACCACCGGCGGACCCTAAAAAGTAGGGTGAGATGAACATCAATTGGTAAGACTTTCGATGAGAAAATATTAAAAATAAGTGGCATGGCTGTGAAGCTGAGCTTACGTAGAAGCCCTAGAAACCACTATTTTCATTGTATAAACTTAAATAGACCACTTTTGCCGAATATTCTGGACACAATAACAGGACAATTATTAACTGGAGATGGCGGCATACATGTGAAGCTTTATGTTAAGCAGCACACTCTGGGACATGTCGTATTATACATCGTTCGAATCGCCGATCTCTTCTGACCATGTCCACCAAAGGGCATCGCGCCATTTTGCGCCATTTTGCTTCTACGGTAGATAACGTGAGCCAGTTCAGTCCGCGAGCGGCTGTGGCTCCTGTTCGATACGACTAAGCTCATTGACCTGGCTCGAAGCTGGTGTCACCTGGTGTGCGCCTAAATGTGGCTTGACTTTTGCCATAAGATGTGCTAATTGAAATGTCATGTATAACGCTGTGCCCAAGAAAAACTGTCCGATTTCTTTTCGCGTTTGATGTCCAAGCCGCACAAGTCCCGTGGTCGGCTTAAGATCGAACGTAAGCGCCTTTATTTTTTGTATTGTTCGCGCCGCGCTGACCTTAGTTGCTGCCCGGCCGGGGCGGACTAGCGGTGGCTGGCAACAGCTGTAGATGCGGTCACGTGACGCCCTGGGGCGTCCTGGCGGTCAGTGCACGGCGGTGGGCTCGCCACACTTGCGTTCGGAGCAGCCTGGCCGGCGGGCGAGCCGTACGAACGTGCGCCAACTCTTGGGCCGAGCACGCTCACTGGGATTTTGGCTTAGGCCGAGCGGCCATTCGTTGTTAGAGGATCGAGCTCATCTCGCTGGGCTCTCGTTGCTTCGGACTCCACTGGGTTACGGATGCGTTTCATCTGCACTGTTCGCGATGTGCTTTAAAAGAATAGACCTATGCCGTTTCCTCTTAGAGCGCAGAGGCATCAAACTATGCACTACTGCTGACCTTCTCCAATTTGTGTCTAGGGTGCGACTGCAGCATGGCTTTAACGATAACTCCAGAGTAAGCTTGGATGATGTGAGGAAGGTGGCAGGACTTATTAGAACTCGATGGAATCGGCGTCGGCATCATTGTTCCACTCAGCGTTTTTTAAGCATGCATGAGACATGGCTGGAGGAAACGACCTGCCTCTCAAAGCCGCTCTGTGTGAATCAGGCATCGGCATCCGCAGGCCGCCCTCCACTACCCTTCTCTGCGAAGAAACGCAGGGCAAAACTGAACGCGACCACTGAGCTGAGGCAGCGGCACGGCTGCGATGAGCTGGTGTTTTCGGCAGCTTCGGCAGTTCACCAGGCTGGCCGGAGGCGCGCCTCGCAGCTGGTGGAGGCGGCCGGCTCGCCGCGCCGCGGACTGAGGCTGGCTGCGCAACTTGGTTCGCAGTCGACTCAGACCAGTGCCGCTTACTCTGCAGACGAGGCGCTGGCACTCATGGTGGATATGGATCTGACAAAAGCTCAGTATGCATACCTTCAACAATCGGCCAAGCAGGACAAAGGCTTGACAAAGTTGTATCCACCCTATAATCTCGTGGCTAGGGCAAAGTCGACCTGCCTTCCGCCTGTCGCAGCCATCTCTGTGGTGCCGGAGAGGGCTGGCACATCCCTGCAGGAGCTCCTGGACCATACAGCCACGAGGATCCTGCTGCTTCAGGCCGAAGTCCTGAAACAAATCAGTTCTGAGGATGTCCGGTTGGAGCTCAAGTTGATTTGCAAGTGGGGCATGGACGGCTCAACTGGGCACAGTCCGTATAAACAGAGTAAAATGACATGTGACGACCAGCTGTTCGTGGTTAGCATGGTGCCGCTGCGGCTGGTGCTGAAGGATGGGAGCGCCGTCATCTGGGCCAACCACACACCAAGCTCGGCTCGATTCTGCCGGCCGATCTCAATTCAGTATATCAGGGAGTCGACATCCCTGACAGCAGAAACAGCTAGGAACATGGAGAAGGAGATCGACGAACTCCTACCCCTTCAGAGCGCATCGGCTACTGTCAGCTACGAGTTGTATATGACGATGGTGGATGGGAAAGTGGTGAATGCCGTCACAGGCACTCCATCTTCGCAGACCTGCAGCATCTGCGGCGCCACACCCCGAGCCATGAACAACCTGGAAGCAGTCTCTACCCGTCCCATCCGCAACCTCCAATACGGGATCAGCACCCTCCACTGCTGGATCCGAGCAATGGAGGCGTTGCTGCGCATTGCCTACCGCATTCGTCTTTGTAAAAGGACAGCTCGAGACGATCAGGAAAAAAAGCTGGTGGAAGAGACGAAGCAGGAAGTGCAGAGCAAGCTCCGAGAGCGACTGGGTCTTCGGGTAGACGAACCGAGGACAGGCGGGGCAGGCAACTCCAATGATGGCAACACGGCGCGACGGGCCTTCCAGTCTGCCAAGGAGTTTGCCGCCTGCACAGGAGTGGACGAGCGACTGGTCCGACGGGTGCATGTCATCCTGCAAGCCGTCAGCTCCTTCTACACGGTCAACTCCGCCGCTCTGGCGGACTACTGCCGACAGACCGCTGAGCTGTACGTGGAGTTGTATGGATGGTATTATATGCCGGTGACACTCCACAAGCTGCTGATGCACTCAGCCACAGTTGTCGAGTGGTGTCTCCTACCGATCGGCGCCATGTCAGAAGAGGCTGCAGAGTCCGGGCACAAACAACTCCGCAAGTTCCGCCTGAAACATACCAGAAAAGACAGCCGCCTACACGCCATCTCTGACTTGTACGGCTATCTCCTGGTCAGCAGCGATCCGCTCGTCAGCAGTATCGGGGCGAGCAGGCGGCGCCGGCGGTATCGAGACAAGGTCAGTCAGCTCCTGCCGGAAACCGTGGCTCTTCTCAGAGAGCCAGAGCTGCCATCAAGCAACGACGAAGTCTACGGAAGCGACAGCGGCAGCGATACCAGCTCCTGCAGCGATGACGACAGCGACAGCAGCTGCTGCAGTGACGTCTGAGAGAGCATGGAACTATCAGTGAAAACAGGAGCTCGAGAAGTGGGGCTGAGAAAAGTTCAGGCTGTGTTAATTCTTCCCCACACATGGGACATATTTTTGTTCAAAATGTTGTTCGCTATGCTGTGTGATGAGTGACTTGCTGTGGTGACTTCCTTTGTGTTGCTGTGACCCGAAATTTTAACACTTTAGAACCATGGTTCTAAAGTGTTAAAATTTCGGGTTTATGTTGTTAACGGGAAAATGCTGTGGGAACTGGTTGCTGTTACGTGTAAAAACAATGAATAAGAACACAGGACAATTATAAAGAATACACATTCTGGTTGAACAATACTTGCATGTGACAATTGAAAAAAGTGGGCTGCAGCTTTTCAACCAATTCAGGAACTGTCCATTAAGTAGATTAGGCTGGGGTGTTTCTAACGGTCAATTAGTCTTCTATAGCATTCGATAATTCATTTCGACTCAACGCCCTATATACATTTTGACCATTTCAGCATCTTAAGTAATGTATTTGATCACGTGGTGATGTCTTGCACCACTTTCAGGTAATGTGGGAATTAATGCGTGCTAATTCTGAAAAAGGGCCACTGTGCACCGGTAACCGTGAGCGCAGTACCTACAATCGGCGGTTACCAGCTAAGCATATCTTTTCGCCCAGCAAACTATCGGCCCCCAACTTTGCGCGGTACTTACCTCCTGGCAGACCCGTCTCTCGTGCATCATGTACCACGGGTCCGGAGGTACAAAGGTACGCGACGTCACCGCCGCTGGTACCGACGTCGCCGCCGCCAGCGTCCAGACCACTGCGATGACGACCCTGGCTCGACGTCGCGATCCTCTTGGCACCAGAGGGTACACGATGGCTCTGTACCGATCCGCCGCGATGGCGACAAGAGTGTATGCGGAGACGTACACCGACACTGGCTGCGCGAAGGATACCAGCCGACACAGAGCATCCCCAAGCGGCCAGTAGCGTAGAAGGACCACGTAGACCACCGTCAGTGGCATGCAGAGGGTGGTCATGAGGAGATCTCCCGCAGCCATGTTGGCGATGAGGAGGTTGGTCACGGTTCTCATTCTCGGAGCCGCGTAGACGACGTAACAGACGAGTCCATTGCCGATCAGGCCGGCGAGGAAGAGGATGGTGAAGCTGATCCAGACGATGACGGTGAAGCCGACTTCAGAGGGAGGTTCGGGAGGGTCGCAGCGCCATTGGAGGAACTGCGCTACGGTGAGGTTGGGGTGGGTGCACACACAGTCGTGGAGGAGTGTGGCAGGGTCATCGGGAAGAGGTATGGTCAAGCAGTCGTCATTGAACAGGAACTCCGGTAATGGGGATGGTAGGGAGGCGTTCAGATCGGCAAGCGTGTTCTCCAGATCGTCAGCAAAAGAGGAGTTTCCTGTGTTGAATCTGGATGAGAGGAATGATGAGTTGGGAGACGTGGAAAAGGATGAAGATGATGGGTGGAGGGTGGGAAGAGATAATGAGATGTTCAGATCATTTGGGAACGTCATCCCTTGAAGTGGTTCATGAACTGATGATGTCGTCTCGTCAATAAATGTCATGTTGTCTGTAAGTGGCGAATTCGTTGTCGATGTCATTGGTAAAACGCTCGCAGAAGATTCGTTTGTTTCCGACAGTGACATGGAATGCCTTTTTCTGCTACGCTTCCAGTGCCCTCGACAATGCTACTTCTAAAAGCCGGGCCGCTTGTGCTTCTCAGATGAGATTGTCGTCTAAAGCTAGGACGCCGCAAGATGTTTCCAGTCGAAAGATTACACCTGTGAAGAAAGTAGCTGTTACAATGATATTGCCATTTTTCGCTGTTCTTTGGTAACTAAAAATGAAATTCAGACACATTGAAACAAGCGCATATGACTTCTGACCTCATGTTTAAAAGTGAGGACTATACTCGTAAAATCAGGTGTCGAAAACGAAGCAACGACCGCTTATGGGCCAGATACGTGCTGCTTTGTGCCCATGGAAAACACAGAACAGAGAAGAGAATAGAGATTAGCCGTCCAGCCGTCAGGGACCACCTCACTTAGCGTGGCTTCCCCAAAACATGGCGCGTCTTTATCGCTGTTGGATGTTCTCCCGAAAGGCCGAAACGCCCTATGTGCAGTGGAGCTACAAACGCAACTGCGGATAGTTGTATCCATGAATGTAATTTACTATCAAGTATCATCAATTTCTATCACTCATTTTTTGATAATTTATTTAGTTATTTGAGTTATTTATTTTAATCAACATTTATTTTGAAGGAAAACGTTCCTCGATAAACGGGTCCTCGGTGCTTTGTTTCTCTGACAGGGAAGCTTGTAAGCAATCAGATCATGGGCCTGGCAATAGCACTGTATCACTGTCGATCATTTTTCTCAGTCTGGCTCATGTTGACAGATGGTAGAGCGCCACCTTTGCCCTTTGTCGCTGATCAAACGGCCTTGCCGCACGGCTGCAATTCATCACAGTTTCCGCAAACGCCGCCGCCATAATCCTACTCGTAAAGTGCTGCCAATAAAGTTGGACGATACGTGTCTGCGGTCGTCCAGACATGAAGTCACGTGCACGATTGAAAAATCGCCCTTTTGGGGTGCGGCGGTGGTGGCCTTTCATTTGGGTGTTCTCGTGATGGGTGTCTAAACGTTGAGGTAGAAACTTGCTGGTATTACAGGAAGATGACGACAATTGGTCGTCGCAATAAATTTTGATTTGAATAATGCCCATATCGTGCAGCCATATTGCATTGTTGATTGTTGTCATATCCATGTAAGCCTTGCGTCAAACGTAGGTCGGATAGTGTGATAATATGAATTGCTATGAACATCGCGCTGATCGCTATCAGTCGCAATAAAGATAACCGCAACTTCCCAAACCGCTTTTGTGGGGCCGACATTACCCCGGGTTGTGCCTGCATGTGGGCTCGATCATACCAAGCTACGCACGAACGATGTCGAAATTAAACTAAGCAAAAATGTTAATTAACACTTTAAGTTAACCTGATAATCGTGCACAATAATTTGAAGACAGTTGAATACCAAAGGTATACCCCTTCTCATGGACAGATTGGTGCTCACTGCCAATCATATACTAAAATATATTTAATTGCCCGGTCTAATCACAAAACCAACCATTACACCGTCGTTTTTCCGAGGACGAAAAATAAGATATTGTCTCCCATGTTGTGGTCCGAGCAGTGCATTTGTACTGATGGCAGTTGTTGGTTGCTGCATAAGATATCAGCTGCATGTCTCCATCCATTCCCGAATGTCTGGGGTCCACCCAAATACCAAAAACACGTCTAGACTAACAATAGCATTATACTTAGTCTGATAGCATTATACTTTTTTTAAAGGTCGTCTCCCGTTAACCCTATTAGTGGCAGGGGGGGGGGGGTGTTTTTATCCACCCCTCAGGTTTTTCGGGAATATCTCCGAAACCGCTGAAGCTACGGTGCTGAAATTTTCTGACTTTTCCTAAAACTAGGTACACCTTTTTAGGCGCAATTTCAAAAATTTAAAGACCAAATTCAAAAAGGTTACATTCAAAATGCACGTGAACGTTTTGAATTTGGTCTTTAACTTTTTGAAATTGCGCCTAAAATGCTGTAAATTGGGCACATTCCCTGAAAATTTCAAGTTCATAACTTTACCAGGGGCGGCTCCAGAGCACTGGGAATTGGGGGTCCTATTCGTGAAGCGAGTCATTTGGGCGAAGATTACGATGCTGCACCAGTTTTACGAACAGTGAATGAAAGGTATCATGTGATAACATATACAAAGTTATTGTGCATCCTCTTTTGACACGTTTTTGCTATAATAGGCGGATCCAGGCGTCCAAAAAGGGGGGTTATTTTTTACCTCCCAACATAGGTGCCCTGACACCGCCTATGCATGACCAATACAATTTTAGTCGTTCTCTCATAAGAAAATTGTAACATAACAAGACCATTGCCACCCTTTTTAGAAACAGTAGGGGAGAGTGGGGCACATTCGTGCATGGGGCACATTCGTTTTCAGCAGTTTATGGGAACATGAGTGACTGCACGAGCTCAAGGTAAATTATGGAAATATGTCTATCATTGCAGCCCTTCGTTCAATGTAGAAGACAACACTGTACCTACTGTCATGCTTGATAAAAACGCAAATTTGTAATATTCGTGCGCTCTCCAAACTTTTCTCATAGCATCCATTTTCGTGATCGTGACTCGGAAATGTGGTTCAGCTTTTCAAAATTGGGGGGCGAAGAAGCTCACTGTATACACGGAACAGCTGCAAACTTGTTTGTTGAAAAACTGTCATTTTTTCAACAAGAAATTTTGAAATATATTACAAATGACGTTGTGGGGCAGGTTCGTGTACGCACTGCCTGGGGGCACATTCGCGTGCATATTTTTTCCGTTTTTGCGAGTTATGACTATATCTGTAATAGGTTTCACTAATGACGCTCGCCTGACTCAGTCTCGGCTGCTTGCGACGTCGTGACAAGTAATTCACGCGACCTTGGCGAGGTCACGAAGGCCTGCAGTTGGCACATTCTTGTTGGCCTGCCCATTCTGTCTTCATATGTTGTGCAATGCATTCTTGTCGAAAGGAATTAAGTGAAATGACCCACTGCCAATTTCTTTTGGTAAATTTCTGGCAATGCCCGGTAATTGCTCGAACTTTGCAGGGTGCACGGAAGTGCCCCACCCCTTGCACGAAAGTGCCCCATAGGTGGGGCAGTTTCGTGCAAACGTTCAGAGTTATTAAAAGTCATTTTTTCTTATAGAAGCAATAATCGTAGAGGATAACTTTTAAAGAGGAAAAGCATCTGCAATAGGTCCTTTCCATACTATAAACAACAATTTTGCCGTTGCACTAACCAAAGAAAAGATATATGGATTTATCCTTTTTTTGCACGAATGTGCCCCAATCTCCCCTACCAACAAAAACCTTATTTACTATACTTTTTGTGTACCCCCAATCTCAATGATCTGTATCCGCCTATGATTTTTGAAAATGCATATTTTTAGGATCCATGTGAATTCCATGGTGTGTCAAAAGTGGAAATAGCCGGTGCGCCGTCTGGCAACCCGGCAGCCCGCCGCCATAGGGAAATTCATGCTTTTTGTTGCTTTTTCGCTCCCTATGAGTCACTTGATTTAATTAGAGCTTAACTAGGAACGAGGCGGGTCACTTGGACGTATTCGGGAGCCGAATACGGTGTTTTGGAGCCAATACCTGGGAAACCCTGCCCGCCCAATGCCAGTTTTTAAGAGTCTGCATGCCCAAATTAACGTTGCGCGCGGCCGTTTTCGGTCGGTTTTCCCCGACCTTGTGGCGAAATCGCCTTATTTATTCAACCAGGGTGGGCTAATTCGCTTAACTAGGAATGAGGCGTTGAAGAGAATTATTCAAGGAATAGAGCTGTGCAAAAATATTTTTTGTATTGTTAAAACTGTATCCGCCCTCGAACGATAAATATTGTTGACCCATCAGAAACACATCACCTGGAATGCGTTTGGACTTGGCTGGATCTAATATTAGCGAGTATCTGCTAATGCAGTTTCTTGGCTTACATAGTGCGCACACAAGCATACATACTTCCTGCCCTTGGTTATTCCTCACTTGAATGAAAATTTTGCTATAATAACTATTCCAAGCAGTTAACAGGTTTTAGTGCAGTGCCAATTCGGAACCGTTCAGCGCCGCCAGTCTCCCAGGCGGCGCGTAACGGCTGCCGCCGGCCGTCGCGCCGCCGCTCTGGCAGGGTGTTTGACTTCATATCTCTGTTGCTAGAAAAGTTGTGGACCGATTTACTTGATTCTTGCATGAAAAGATCCGCCATTCAATTCTTAGCAGATAACGAAAATTTGACGTCAATTGCACGATCCGCTGCCCAAATTGTGGTACTGCCATCTATTGACAAGGCTGGCGAACTAAAGCCGGGCGGCTATTTCCACTTTTGACACACCATGCCTGGTTAATTCTCTATCGATCGGCAAAAGTTGCGTTAAGATTGGTTCAGAAACCTGGCCGTGATAAACAGTCTAAAATGTATCTGCAATTTGCCCGTTTTTACCCCCCTCTACCCCCCTATTGACATTTTTTAATTTTATTTTTTTTAGAAATGTAGATCTCGTTGAGCCAAATCGAATGCCGTTTGAATTTTGAAAATCGGCCGGTTAGATCTCGAGATATCAAGGGGGGGTCGTAAACAGCCCCCCCCCCCCCCTGCCACTAATATGGGGTAGCCAGGAGCCTGCCACTAATAGGGTTAAGGCCGTCTCGCCTGAAGCTAGGGCCGCGCGAATGTTTTCAATTATTTATTGAGAGTTGAGAGAGGACCTATGTCCTCGCACATGCCCGAGCCCATTGGCTTTCATGCCCTTTGATATACAATCAACCCCATTTTTCGCTGTCGTAAAATAAAACGGCGTCGTCACTTCAAAAGTACATATTCACAATTAATAAACTGTTGGCCACTATTCCCAGGTCATCCGAAGCAACATTTTGTTCACCAACGTATCCAAAGTTCTCTCTTCCATGTCAGTATCGCCTGCCTAATGATGGCGATCTCTGTTCTCTTCGCCTGCTGCTAGTTTGTTCCAATTATCTGCGCTGCCGAAGCGAGTGATATCTGTTCTCTTAGTCTACGCGAGAATGGTGTTCCCCGGTCGCAATACGACGATAATGGTGCAATTAGAAAATAACGATGCGTTCTTTTATGTTAGGCGTGAATGCAGGCGATGAGATTTAGAAGAAATGAGAACAGTGGGGTCTTCCCGTTGTCTGTTGCT